CACTGGGTCTCCGAAGTCTGGCGAAACGATCGATGAATCTGGTGAGAAATCAGAGCCGCTCGTTCTCCTGGCTCGATCTCGGATGTTCCGGCGCTGCGCGGGATGATGAGGTCCGCGATTCCAATTTCGATTTCGCAACTTTCGAGAAATGAGGGGTAGACAAAAATAATTGTTACACAGTCGGATTTTACGACTAATATATTCCAAACCATATAAGTANTAGTCACATCACTGTCGTATTGGTTACGGAACTAAAAAGGAAAATAACGTCCAATCGCTAAATATTTTTCGAGATTTTTTATATCCTATTGATTTGAATACTGTTATATCATTTTCATTATGAAATAAAAATTAAAAGTTGTATGTAACAATTCTAACCCTAAATTGTTAATATATGTAATTGTGAGTTAAATAACATTACAGCACTTTTGCAAGATAATATTTTTTTCAGTTTTTCGAGAAAATATTTTTGTTAGGAAATTATAGTGTNATAATCACGAGAAAAGAATCGTCTTCGCAACGAATGCGCACGTTTTTATACGTTGCTTTGTCGCTGAGAGTCGTTTCTTGGTTGGCTGATGGAATCGTGGAGATGGAAGAAATTCATTCAATCGGTATGATGTCACCGCGTCGATATCGCCGAGTCGGTCCTGAGTTTGAATATAGGTTTCATGCTCCTGTTTATGCTAGCAGCGGGGTGCCTTATCGCATTGAGATTACGGTTTCTCTTNGCAGGGGCGACCAGTTTGGTTTGCTCCGCTTATTGGCCTCCCCACAAACGCCGAACGGGAGCAACGAAGGTGCAGGCGGGGTCAGAATGGCTTGACTCGCTTTTTCCTCTTCCAACGTCTTTATTCCGCGCTCTTCTCTCCTACAGACTTCTCGCCAACTCTATTACAGTCTCTACGCTTTCCAACGTTTACAACTCAACTCTCTCACGCTTCTCCCGCTACTAACTCTCGTTACTAACTCTCGCTACTGCTGACTCTCAGCTGCTCTCTGCTGACTCACGCTCGCAACTCAGACGGCGAAGCGAACGCTTCTTTTTCGCCTCGCCNCATAGACGTATATAATAGACCGCGCAACCCAGTGGAAAGGCTTGAGGTGAACATAGAGGTGGTGGGGGAGCAACTTTGGGCGTCTGTCTCTTTCTAACCTCGTGCTTTCTCTCTCTCCGGCGAAACGAGAGTGGGGAGATGGACTAGCAAAAGAGTAGGATCTCTTATATCTCCCATCCCAAGCTTAAACGTAAGCCCCTCTTCCCTTGCACAACTTAAATACAAAATGTGTTCGACGTAAAATTAGAGCATGGTAGCCGAGCGAGCTAAATGTTTTGCTCTCGGAGGTTCTTGATTC